GAGGTTGCAGTTAAAATACACTCCATCTTTTACAGCATTCAATCTATCTTGCTTATAAGCGTTCAATGCATTAGATCAATGAGAGCTGTTGTAAAAGATTTACTGCAAGCTTCCAAATGGGCCACCTTCCCTAATACCAGGTTATTGATTAATCTTGCTTAGTGTCTCCGATGGATTAGATGTAGTTTAATCTTATGGTCAGGTTCTCACTATGTAGGTCAACCCTCCATTTATGTTATCCTCAGGCTTCTAAAGTTGCCATCATCCCACTTCATTGTGAAATAATGGATGGCTATATGTCTGTCTGCACAAGGGCTGTGTCTCTATAGTGTGATGAATGGGCTCTGAATGTTATATTAGACATTCACATCGAAAGGAGGATGCCTAATGTTGAAATCTGAGGAATCTTTGATTACTACATTGGCAAACATTAAGTACATTACAGCAGAATTGCTTCCTGTCAAAATGTTTTCAATGTCTACACGTGTAGCTGTCTTGTGGTTTATTGTTTTTCAAAGGCAAAGTGAGTGATTCAGTTGCCCTTGACCTACATACATAAACAGCAATATCCCCACTTCTCTGCTCATAAATGCAGATACCAAAGCTGATAAAACATGTATAGAGCCTTCTCTAAATATCATTTGTGAGCAGTAGGTTTGTAAAGCATGTATAACATGTGCATGCATTACTGGAGAAAGCCACATCTGCCTCCCCTGGGGCTGTCATTAGCACTGTTAGATGGAACAGTGTAAATCACACATGGGGTTGCTTTAGACATTGACAGAATAAAAGGTTCACACAGACCTAACAGATGTAGGTCAGTGATTTCTGAGTTATAGTGGAAGAAATATGACTTGACCACTTGTCATACAATATTTAAGTTCAGATTATCTTCAGACAGGTATGTGATATGTGAGTTTACTCCCAGTGGCAGGGGTATTTTTCAGTCAGGGTCATTAACCTTTGACATGTCTGGTTAAATGGAGGGTAGCTCTACTCCATTTTGTCAAACAGCAAACATTTATCTTGTTCTTACATGTGACACTGTGGATATGGGTTAGCAGGTTTCTGTCTAGCCTGTCTCCCCCTGTCAGGGCTGATAGGGCCTCCTCCCTGGGGGCCTGACCAGTGGAAGGATTGCTAAAAGTGTGATGAAGCCAGGCTAGGTACCGTTTCTGTCCAATTCCCTTCAGAAAGTTGGCCTATCTGCATTGTACCAGTAATTCATCAGTAGCTACTTTATAAGGGTGGGTACTTTAGGATTATAAGCTTAAGACAATGTAAGATCTTTATGCTTTGCTCTAAACAGGTATGATGTGCCTATAAATAGACGGGAAATTCAAAGCATTAAACTGCTGCATAAAGAGCTGCATAAAAATGGAGATGTGTCACTTAATGCGGGAAGGCTCTTTAACTTTATAAAGATGGTTGCTCTTATCAGCCAATACAATGTCTAGCTTTAACTTAGTTATCTAAAACTGCCAGTATCGCTGTGGAAACACTGGAAATCCAGGAAGCCAATTTTTAAGTCAGATATGACTACCCAGTATAATAATTGTGATAAGTAAAAAAATAGATAAGTACTTGAAGCTCATAAGAACATTAGGCTTAATGTTAGGTAGATTCTACGGCCATTCCAAGTCTAAATGACCAGTGGTTTAGAAAGTTGTTATATTATGTACTTGCTTTGTTTGCAGGTGGATATCCCAATGCAGGTACTGTTTGATGAAGCCAAACTGGCTGTGGATCCTGGTGCTGTCCAGCTGCTGGAAGAAAAGTGGCTGTTCCTGGAGGACCAGGTAAGGAACAGTTGTTGCAGTGTTGGCTAATAAATACCACTAACATATTTGTTACTCCGTGAAGGAGGTCAGGACCTCCGGACGGAGTGTTGTGATCGGCTGATTTTTCATGTTCGCAGTCAAAACACTGGGTTCTCTTTGTGTAATCGGCACGCAATTTTATACGCCGTCTGCGGGCATGCCCGTGTTGATGCACAAATGTGTATTTTTGCCGTTGCTGCTTTCGCGGTCAATGTAATATTGCAGACGCACCCCTACAATTACTAGGCGAATTGGAATGGTCCAGAAAAACGCGTTGTTCGGAATAGCGGGGGGGGGGGAACTTCATGGGGTGGTTTTGGTAAGTGGTTCCAGATGTTTTTGCCCATGCTTAAGAGATGCCAAGTTTTTTTGAAGATGTTCGCAGCCAAAACGCATTCTTCCGTACGTCGCATTTCTGTGTAATTTCGCATGTGGTGTGGCATTATGTCCGGGATGATGCACGTCTTTTTATTTTTACCATAGCTGTTTTGATATTGAAGTAAATGCATATTTTAGAAACATCCCTACTTTTACAATCCTGTGGAATAGGCCGTAGGTTTAGGCAGTTGTCTGGTAGCAGAGGTACTCTAAGCAGATATCCTGGTTATCTGGCCGGCGGTAGTAACACTCGCGGTGCTTACCGCAACTGTTGCTGGCTTCTTGTTACAATTTGTACACAAAGCTGTGTCCTGGTATTAAATGTCACCTGGTTTTAATGACATTATGATAATCATCATTGTTTTTGTCTGCTGGTGTTGCAACGTTGCTCCCACTGGACTGTTTTCTCTAAGACATTGGCATACACTTAAATAGTACACTTAAGTCAATAGCGTAAATCAAAGTAGATAAGATCCTCATTAAAAGGTAAAGATATTTAATCCTTGATAAGAGGGAATCAATTCAAGAATCTTCTCTGGCACCATATTGAAATTTGCATTGATGCTACCTATTTCTGGCATAGTTGTAAAACAGTTAAAAGAAAGGAAGGATCCAGGTTGTGAATATTCCCAGCACACTACAGTGAGCTCAGACCCTTGGAGGAAAAAGGGAACACACAGGAGCGGGTAAGAGGAACAGAACCACAGGAGACACTGCCTGCATTTAAGGCTGTCACCGTTACAATAATACTGACATGAGTTGTCCCAGTACAGTACGTAGTACTTCAGGTACAAAATGTCACTAACAACTTCAACTTGTTTAGTAAAAATCCCCAGGGTTACTAATCAGCCAGGCTGTACATGTAGGTCTTGTTGAATCATGGACTTGACAAAATAATAAA